AAAGTATGAAGCCGCTTCCAAGAATATCATGTGTGGGTTTACCAAGAGCAGAGGGTGGGAACTCTGTGTTACATTCTGCCTCTTACAAACACTTCCTGTTTCCTTTGTCTCTTCACATCCCCACTGTCCAAAATGTCATCCAAAGTTTTACAATGAAGTCTTGTGAGTTACTGTACAAACACATTGTTGCTCTAGCCTTTGAAGAATGCTGTGTGTCCATCTCACGGAGCCTTTAGGTGAATTTAAGAAATGAGGAGGGCACGGGTTGTGGCTCAGTGGTAGAGCACTTGCCTAGCATGTGTGAGGCACTGGTTTTGATCCTCAGCACCACGTACAAATAAATAAATAGATAAAATAAAAGTAAAAATGTTAAAAAATAAAGAAAGAAAGGAAGAAACAAGGGACTCAGGTTCACTTTGAAGTGACAAGTCCATTTATTTCCCTAGAGACAACTCCCATCCTCATGCTTCTCTGAACATTTTTTTTTTTCAGTCCTTCCTTGTGTTGAAATTGGTAGGACTTTATGGTTGCCTTTTTACTTTCTCTTCTATCTCTGGCCTAGAAGTCAACTCATCTTCCAGCAGACTCCACGTCTGGAGAACCCTGATGATTCTGCTTTAGTCTGTCAAAACTTGGTTACCACTCCACCCCTTGGGTCACATTCCTGAAAATGACCTTGTCCTTTCCAAAGGTAAATTCTCCACTGTGCTTCTGGGAGGTATGGAAAAACCACATTCAGCAAGTCTTTTAATTTTTTTAATGTCTTTTAAGATAACATACCTTCTTAAAAAAAAAGATTAAGATTGCTTCATTTATTGGTCATTTAACAGTTTCAAACAAGACCGTGTTTCTATGGAAGTCTAAAATTATTTGGCACTCTTTTCTGAGCTTTGTGAGTAAACGAAAGAAAGAAAGAAAGAAAAGAGAAAAGCAGCTAAGAGAGAGGAACAATCCTTTAACAAAACTTATCAGAAGTGACCCACGGTACATCTCTATTTCTGTTACCCAGAACAAAAATATGGGCAATTATATTGTGGTAGGTTTCAGACTATGAATATTTACTTAACAATAATGGTTCCTCAAGGGCCATTATGAGTTATTGGGAAATAAAATATTCATAGGTGTAAAATTGAAATTAGCCTACATGAAATTTTCCTGGAGTTTACCTCTACAGAAAGCATTTTTGTTGAGGAGAGGCCGGCCTGGGAGTTAGTATGCGCTAATATTCACCATAAATAATTAAAAATTCTGCATCAGTGGAATGCTCCTCTCAGAGCTAAGTCAGCCAAATCTCTCAAAATCATAGAGGCAGAACCAACTTACATTTTATGACTCCTGAGGATGACTGCTGAGAGAAGGGCCAAAGGAATTCAGCAGGCAGAGCAGGATAGGGAGACCTCAAAACAATCAGCACAAGTCTGCTTCCAGATTTTTGATCTCAGCCATATTTGACTGTAAGTGGTGTGATTTCAGGATCACAGACCTCAATTCTGGCTGGGTGCTGCAAATGTGACATATTTAAATACATATTTGGGGATGAACTCAAATTTCAAAAATCCCTAGGAAGAGTGCCATAGAGAAAAGGTTTGTTTCAGAGGAAGAAAAGAAGGAGGCTGTGAGTTTCAAGGCACCAGAGGTAGAGTAGTAAGCTGCTAAGAGGTGGAAAGAACCAGAATGGGATGAGGGCTTGACACCTTAGGTACTCTCGCTCAGCTAAAGTTGGAGGAAGGAAGAGCCACCACACATTGTGCTTCTACCAGGGACCCCAGCCAGACTTCCCAATAGTTACCTTCAAGTCCCCTTCTGCTTCTGGGCTTGAAGGAACCCCAAATCTCCCCCAATCTTTTGCATTAGTCCTGAGAGTCTGAGATCTTTCTTCTCCAGTATGAACTCATCTGCTTTTATTTTTATTTTTTTGGTGGGGAGATTGTCAGAGTACTTCCTCTTGTATTGTAGCATCAATATTTGTAAACAATGGGTATATATTTTTCAATCCTATATTATACATATAGCATTTTGCAGATGATGAATTTGGAAGGTACATGCAGGAAACAGCTTCAACTGTTCTCTCACAACTTCCTTCAAACATGTTCTTGAAGGATCTCCCCTCCTGATCCTGGATTCAGGCTTTTCATTAACTCTGGGCCATACCAACAGACTTATCTAGGCCTGGATTTCCATGCAGATGCATGTGTGTGAAGCATCACTCTGATCTCTTGTGGAGCCTAAAGTTGAAGAAGACTGGAACATCCTCTCATTCTGCCACATTGATCTAGTCTTTCTGCTGTCAATTCTAGAAATAAATATTAAAGCAAAAGATGTTAAGGAAATGAACAAAATTAATAAAATATTCCCCCAGTGGGTTTCAGTACTCTTCCTGCATTGACTCTGCATTAGCACTGAATAAACAGGAATAACTTCTGTTTCTAGGTCCAAGCTTTGAGCAAATGTGTGAAGTAAGTGAAATGTGGTTTGCATTAGTCCTTTCTGAGAGTCTGTGGTTTGGTCTTTTTCTACCCAAGACATCTTGGAATGAAATGCCCCACTCCCAACTCCAGGGGGTTTGCACCAGGGTGTTACATCACAGAAGAGCGCCATGGGACATCCAAACAATCTAGATTTGAAACCCAGTCTCTCTCTGGTGTAGCCATTTTAGAAAACTAGTAGTGTCTGCTAGATCTGCTGAATAAGTGTACATAGAAGTGAATATTCATTAGAAAAAAGTGCCTATGTCTCACATAAGTCATATGTACACAAATATTCAGAGCATTATTCACAATATTTCCAAACTCGGACCAATCCAAATATCCACTAGCTGTGGAATACATAAACACATTCTTCTATGTTTATACTATGGAATACTATGTAGCAATTTGAAAAATGAATTTTTGCTATGCATAACAACATGGAGAATTCCCACAGACTTGAAACCAAGTGAAAGTAGTCAGACAAAAAAGAGCACAAAGTGTATGATGCCATTTATACAAAATTTTGACAGGCTAAAATAATTTCTGGTGGTTGACATCAGAAGAGTGGCTATATATGGTGGAAGTGTTGGTGGGGAGACACGAAAAAGCATTCTGGGGTTCTGGGAATGTTCTGGATCTGGATGGTGACTATATGCATGTATATATGTGTAAAACTCTAATGATTTATACACTTAAGATTTGTGTGTTTCACACTTGGCTCTATGTTAATACACTCAATTTTTAGAAACAAATTGCAAAAATTAATTTTAAGAAGTTAACGAAAACGAATCTCAATCCTGCCTCTTACCAATATGTGATCATGGACAAGATGTTTTGTTTTTTATTTTAACCTCATTTTCTTCATCTATGAAGTGATGATTGGAGACCTAAGCAGTCTGTTTCATCATTTTTTTAAATATAAAAACCCAATGTGCAACATTAATGAAAGTGCTTTGAAAAACGAAACTACTCTACTTAGTGAGCATGTCTTAGAGGGAGAGACACATAAAAGAACATGAAGCACCCTCCATTCTAGTTCTGTATCATGTGATGTTTTACTAACTCTAGAGATTTGTCAAGAGCCTGATGGTCTTGTCAACTCATTAGGCTTGAAGCACCCTTCTCTTGCCTACTTCCTAATGTCAGGGTCTTAATTTTTC